AGCCCAGCGAAAACGCCGGGCAGCTATTCGAAGAGATCGACGGAGGCATCCGAGCTGATGAGGAAGTTTTCAGCAGACCCCATGGCCGCGGCCCCGTGCCATCCCGTGCCCCGTGCCTTACAGCTGCCTGAGGCAACCGAAGGCGGCTGCAAAGCTGCCCATCACGCCGGCGCAGTGGGTCCGGACGGCACCAGTAAGTTCGAGTTCCCTGCATTTGGACTGCATTTGGACCCTTTTCAAAGGCCGCGGCTGCTGCTGCTGCCCGAGCGCAGAGCGCAGAGAAGCTGAAGTCCCCAGCAGCATGCCTAGTTTGGGCAGGTGAGGGCTGGCATCTCTTACCTCTCCAGGGTGGCGTTGCTGTGCTGCAGCACTGTATCATTCGGATCTGCTCTGTTGGCAACGCCCGTCTTGCTTTGTGTCAATGTAGTTGATCACAGGCTTGCGCGCGTGTCGGGCAGTGTCGAGGCTTTGACATGCTGGACAAAACACTTCGGGAGCTCTGAGCTCTAACGAACAGACAGTTGCCGCCGGCGTAGGCAACATGCGGAACCAAGATTGTGCCGGCTCACAACATAGGGGCCACACAGTGACTATACGAGTCAGCATCTGAGGCCCAGTGGGCAGCAGCACGTGCGAGGGCTCTCGTGCCTCGCCCGCCTTGAAATGCTGTCGGCAAATCCTGAGCCCCAAGTCGTATGCGGCATCCCACAGCAGACAGCAAACAAACAGCGGCATGTTAGATGCACTGAGGAGAGGCTACAGGCCAAGTCTTCTCCGGATGGCAGCCAGCGTTGTCGGAAACGAAACTTGGATGACAGTGGGAGCTACGTCTGCAGCCACCCACACTGGGAAGCAAAGGGTTTTTGGAGCCTCAGCTGAGGCTTTGGGTTGACTGGCGAGGTGCAGGTCCTTGAAACGCTCGAAGAGGACCCGGCATGAAGCGGGGAGCGCAGAGTGGCAGACGCTCGCCGTGAAGGAGCCAACCGCTGCACTGGACCTGACGCAGCCGAAACGAGCGCGAAACAAGCAGTCTGTTGAGAGCACTGGTCATGCTGGCAAGCAAGCTCTCGGTCCAGCTGCGTCCATGTATGTCAGCTGCTTAGTGACACCCAGGCTGTGTATTCTGCGAACTGTCCGCACCCCAGAAACGCCCCCCGAGACTCAAGAAGTATTGCGATTGCACAACGGACAGGAGCGTGGCTGCTGCAAAGGTGTCTCCACTACTTGGGAATTCTTGACTGGAGCGGAGCTGCAGCTCAGGTGAGGAGCACAGGGGCCTCTTACGCCTTGTGGTCGCATGCGAAGCTGGCATTGGCCGCAGGCAGATGAACAGTTCATGAACAAAAAACCATACTCCACATTCAGAACTCTTTGAAGTGTCCATGCCTTTGCAAAGTGTCTTCACTTTTGAAAGGCCTTCCCTCCGAAGTGATCGATGCACTGCAGCGCGGGGAGGAAGCTCAGAAGGCCGCTTCAGGGAGCAGAAGACAACGCATATTGCATTACACTCAAAACACACCTACGAGGCATTGACGACCAAGTTGAACACGTATGTCCGGCATCTGTCTCCTCTCGCTCGATAGAGAAGCACAGGTGAGCGGCCGTTTGCGCAGAGACGAACAGGCAGCCTTGCCCTGAGCTCACGAATGAATTGCACACTTGTGCAGTGCATGCATGGGCCCAGACTGCTGGTATGCACTCATCATCATCATCAGCATCATGTCCATACTCGACCGTCATCTTCGCAGCAATGTTGGAAGGGCTGTTTGTCACTGAATGCTAGACATTGTGAGCTGGGCCTCCGAATCTTTGTAGGCTCGAGTTCTGCCGAACCCATGGTAGCACAGTAATGCAGAAGGTGCGAATTCTCGTGCGTCGTCCGTGTCCCGTGTCCCGCGTCCCGCGTCCCACGTCCCGCGTCCTGGCCCGGGTTTTGCGTCTGGTGTCCGGCCCCACCTGCAGCCTCCGGTCCGCGCCTATCGCGGCTCCGTGCAATTCCTGCAGCTGGGATATCTAGAATCTAGAATATATACATTGTCGGGTTGATTGCAAGGCTTCCCACTTCTAGGGCGTCTCGGGTGTAGGGCCCTAAACCCATGACAGCAGAAGCCCTAATAGTATGCCCTTATCATGGAACCTGCAACTATGGATGCCTTCATAGTACTTTCAAGGACCCTCAAGGACTCGAATACAAACCTCATGGAACCTTTAATTATTCTACTTATACAGGAGCCCCAACTATCATAGGTTTTGGGGTTTCTGGTGCCCGGTCTTGGTTTCGATTAATGTAGTGCTTACTTATCGTGCATCTGTGGCCTGGAAGGGCTCATACCTTACAACAGATAGCGGCTTACAATTTCCATTACCCAACCCGCTATGCCTGAGACGAGAAAATTGGGTGCCCACTGCGCTAGACCCTACAAAATAATAGATTGTGAGACCTTCATAGCAGGATAAAGCCCCTTGTGCTGGCGAAGTCTTCATCACATTTCCTTCAAGCCCGAGCCTTCCTGAAGGCAAGAACGACTCATCCCATTTCTTGACATGATACATTGCTTTCGGCGCCGGTGATTTCCTCATCACCGTTCATCGCAATCCGAGCGGCTGATGTCCACACTCAAACCGCGACCTTTTTCGCTTACATGCTAAATTCCTCTCAGGCTAGTCACATTTCCTGAAAATCCGATCCCTTCGCAAGCCGCGTTACTGACATACTTACATGCCGCATCACAGTTTCTCAATGGCTTTCTCAATACCCGACACCTTGCCGGTGGCGGCTAATCCCAGTTCCCACCATGCTAGTTTCCTTGCAGGCCACCTACCCCCACCAGCTTACTTATCACAGTCCCTTACAAATCCGACTCTTCCTTGAGGCGACGGCGATCAATCTCCAGTTCCTCTAAATGACACCCCTCCTTTAGACACCGGATCCTGAAAATCCGACCCATTTCCATATAGGCTAGCCTTTCAGGCTGATCACATTTCCTCATCCGATCGGACAATCCCATTCCCATGCGTGCAAACCACGGTTTCTCACTGCCCGACCCCTTGGCGCCTAAAGGCGACTGCAGCTACCCTCGAGTCGAAAGAAAAGTGGCATGTCAGTAAATGGGATTAGGCGCCATGCCCTGTGAAGCGGTGGCGTATGAATTCTGTAAGGAACTGTGAGAGGATGTTTAAGAGTCGCCATCGCCTTAAGCAGGATTTACTCATCACAGTTCCTGAACCGACCTTAGGCGATGACGTGTCTTTACACACACACATAAATAACATATTTACATAAATGCTATGAAAACATAAAAATAAAGGCACACAAGTATGACGTGTGTATCCTAATCATCGGTCTGGTAAGTAGGACGTCAGTTCCGCGCTCGCAAGAACAGCCTTTCCTTGACTGATCAAATCCGTGGGAGCCGATCGGCCCGGATTTGAGCTGTTTTCCTCTCCGTCTTCTGATCCGGTCGAGAACTTTTGATTTTGCGCTCAGCGAGGGTCGAGCGGTGCAGCTCACATAAACTGTTCTACGTATGTATACATATATATATATATGTACATATATATATATACATATATTTCTGTATATATATATATATACGTATATATTATGTAAACACATATTTACGTATATACACACAAGTATAGTTGTAATTACAGCTCTCTCTCTCTCTCTCTCACTCTCTATAAATATATGTATATGCATGTACATATATATATACACACATCTACATACACATATATACATTCGCATACCAAAACAAATACAAACGCACACACACACACACAATTTTACATGTTTACTTGCAGTTCCGGCTGCGGCCCGAGTTCCGAGTCTCGCCGGCACCAGCGTCCCGCGCTCCGCGTCCCGCATCTGTGGCCGGCGCGTCCCACTGCCTCCGCGCCCGCGCCAATAAAACCCTATACTCCAGGATCTTTCGCTGGCCAGTCACTGAGACATCTGGATGACTTCCCTCCACCTGACAGCATCACGCCAATGTTTCCAAACCACCATACTTCCGATGCGGTTGAATGGGTGCCCTCTCTGAGAGCGGGTCAGGAAAAACAACATCCCACAAATCCTCAACCCTAAATACCAGGCACTTCTTCTCTGCGATGAGCTGCTGCAAGTTGGCATGACGGTCAGCGAGGAGCCTTCTTCATCTCAGTACCGTACAGCTGTAGGCAAAGAGACGACAAAGCAAGTGGTAATAGTCGGATGCTCGCTACCACACGGCTGGCATTGCTTTCCGAGATCCCGTTGGAAGATGGCGGATGCCTTGAGCTGCTCTAGTCCACTGCCATGCGTTAAGGCCGAATTCGTATGTGTCGCCTGCTATGAAGGCAAGAAGCTGTCAACATCGGACAAAGTACTGCACTGAAGAGCTCGGGAGGTGGTAGAAGCAGAAGCAGCAGTCCAAGAAACATAGAGCCGAATCAGCTGCCATGACAATCAATGATTAACGTGAAGATCTCGCTGTTCGAAATTTGTTCTTCTGCCTTTATGCTTTCAATGCGGGTCTTGTAGCTCAGGCCGCAGGCTAGTGTGGACAGCATTTTATCGGCTTCGCAGGAGACTTACAGGGCTGCAGTGCAGCAGTTGGGGGAGCGCTGCACCTTCGAGGCACGATAGTGTTGTTTGGTGTGAACAGAATCCTTCCCCATCCCAGCCCGGCACCGGCAACTCATGCAACCAAACAGTGCTTCGACTTCTTGACTTGTCTTTCAGGTGTCTGCGACAGTTGGCTTCTACCTGCTCCTCAGTGCTTAGCTCAACGTGCAGCTGACATTGCGAGCACAGAGTGATAACAAGCGTTGGCGCCGTAACAGAAGAGTTGTCGACGAGATGGGCCGGAAAGCGTCGCACAGGAACCTGCCAAGCACTGAATGCCACTCCTACAACTGATCATAACTTCAAGCTGGGGCTTGTTGTGCAGAACCATTTCAGCTTTTCTGCCAGCTCTGGGCTACAGCTAACAAGCCCTCAGCGCCGGTCATGTCATGCCATGCTTCGGTGCCCTGGCTGAAGGGGGCATGTTGACATGCTGTGGCATTTGAAGGTCGCAGCTAAGGTGGTTGAAGCAAACCTGGGTAATACCGACCACATCACTGCTTCAGCCGCTAAGGCTTCTGGTGACTCTAGCGGCTGTCAAGGCCGATTGTGACGGAGTGCAGAAAACAACATGAATCAACTATTCAAGCTATTCCTATGCCGCCTATGCCAGCATCTCGTCGCTGTCTCTCGTCAGCTCTCACTGGCAGGCTGCTACCGTTTGCCAGGACGACCTTATCACCCCTTCGACCGACTCCCACGCATCTTGGAACATATCGCGTTTGGGCGCATCCCAGAGGTTGGACAAAGAGATTTGCCGCTGACATGGCAGCCGCCTGAGGCAGCGGGATCCATATTGCTACAAAGTTCGCAGATCAGAGACCGGGACGGTGTCTTGGCATCAACAGTTGGCCTTTAGCGTTGCCCCACAGCTTGTCACCGAAGAAACAGTGAAGAGACGACCTGCCGATCCGTCTCGTGCCGGCAGATGCGAGTCGTGGGCCAGTCGAGACCAACACAAGGAATGCTGTCGTGTTCCCCAAAACCAGGCTTGACGAAGGGCCCATGTCCAATGTAATGTAAAGAGCACAAAGCTCCAAATTTTCCGCAAAAGCCCGAAGTCTTAAATCCGCTCCCTTGTAGCCTCGCGCGTGGGTTGGTACATCTCGGTGCTTTGCTTGAAAAGCTTATGACAGCCACACTTAGTTCGTTCAATCCTCTCTAAGGACAACTTTGGGACGGCAACATTGAGCTGAACACTTCTCAAAGAGAGGCGGGTGACTGTGTTTGAGGCTCCAGACCCCAGACTTTGCGAATCAGAACACCGATCTGAAGACACTTTCTCCAGGACAGCTACGCATTCCTGCCTTGGCAAGTGCTTTACCTTCTGCAGGGTGACCGTGCCGGGCCCAGAGCCCTGTGAAGGCGAAAGTGACGTGCTAGAAGTTGCTTTCCGAAGGTCAGCTTCTGTGGGGAAGGACAGATGCACCTTCTCAAGCGCAAGAAGCAGGCAATGAGCGGCAGAGCAGTAGGCAGAGAGCGGCAGCGAGCCGTCTTTGCTTTGCGCTCTTGAGCTCCTTTCGTTTCAAATTGAAGCGCTCCCCCCCCCCTCCAGCGCAGGCTTTGCATCGCTGCTGATCTGTTTCTCCTGTCTTCTGCTGACAGCCTCGGCCTTACTGCCACGTCTGGTCTTCTTTTTTCTGGCTTCGGCACTTGCAATGCGTGTTCCTTCACATTGGTTTTCAACCCTGGCAAGGACGGCTTGAACATGTGAAGTGTCGCTTTTGCAGCGGTGCCAAAGGACTGTCCTAGCATCTCCGTTTGTCTCGCTGCTCTCAGGTCTGCGTTTGCGCGTGGAGTCTTGGAAGCGCTGGGGATGACCCGATCAAGGGCACAGGCTAACACTGCGGAAAGAAGCGTTGGGGGATTTTCCGCGAGAGAAGACAGCTGTACTCACTGTGAGAGAGGCGGAGGCGGAGGTCCGAAACTGCCTTCCATGCGGCCGAGCCTGGAGCCCTCACAGGGCCAATGCAGACCGCTCGGTCCCGGGCGGCCAGGGACCCGGGTGTGCTGCTAAGACTCACCCTGCCTCACATGATGTAAAGTGGGTTTGAATAGGTTAAAGAAAGACAATAAATCAAAATAGTCCATCTGTGTATGAAACGAGAATGTTGAGCCAAGCCCATATACAGAAGATCCCATCCTAGAACCTGCCTCCATTTGACCAAGACTATGTAAAAATTGTAGAAACCTCAGGACGATCATATCAACTAAGTTTTGCACAGTATCCGAGCAGATATTTCCCTTGTTGACTGGTCACAGCAACTTTTCGATAGATCTCAACTGCCGTGGTTGGAGATTGTGGGCACTCTCACGACTATCTAATTTCCTTTAAACTGAAAGATTTACGAAATTTTGTCGATCATTGAACTCGCCGAAATCCGCTCATTCAGATTCTGTAGATAGTTTGGATAGCCTATAAACGCCCTAAATTTTGCAGATGATCTTACCTGCAACATTTGACAACATCATCTGAGCTCGTCTCTAAAGCATGTCAATGTTTTTTACCGGATCAAAGTCGCTCTTGAATAGCTTAGCTGAATCCGAAGTCTAAAGCTTTCCTAGCCTCTTCGGTTGGAGATTTGGGAGAATGCAGAGACTTTGCAAAGTGATACAATAAAAGTACAAGCTGTCTGAATACTGAATATCTCAGTTTCGGGACTTCCCATTCCTTCTCAAAATTGTCATCTGCCTTATTCGCATGATCTACATTCCACATACTTTGGAGCCTTGAAATCTTCTCTTGATGATTTCGATGTCGTGTTAAACGGTCTAATGTTCTTCTAGATCATCTAACAATTTTGGACTCTGCTTGCATGTCCCAGTAAATCTTCCAGATACCAGCCTGCGACAAGGCTATGGATGCTAACCCTCTGCAACACCCGCATAACACGGGTATCCCCAACCCCGAGGACGGTCGGCTACTGTACCCTGTCTACTCACAAGTCGTTTGCCCTGGATTTCGAGCTTCTAGCTTTCTTCATAGGTAAGGTAAAGGTGCTTTCTTGATAAGATACCTTCTCTTCAACAAAGCCGGTCTCCTTAATCTTCAGCACATTCATTGCATCGAAAATTACGTATTCACACACGTTCCGGGATTCGCGAAAGTCAGAGAAACACTTCTTGCAACCCCTTCTAAGCTGCCTGTCTCAGGTCACCTTCCCTGCCGACGTCATTGCCTGAGGCCCGCTCTGAGCAAGCACTTCGAGTGCGCTGTGAGCGCAGCAACTAACAACTTTTAAGTTTTCCGGCTTGTGCTCATGCCTAACGGTGACAGTTCGTGACCAGTGACTAGATTACACCAGGAGGCGGTCCTTCGTCAACAGCAACGGACATTTACGAGCGTTTGCTTCTCGTCCGGATGGCCGTGAGAGATCGAAGCCAGCACTTTGCAGTGATGCTGGCTTGTCATCAAGATGCAGGTGATTCAGCCATTTGACCGTAAACAGATGAGCGGCTTACTTTGATTTTTATTTGCCTCCAAGCACACTGTTCACATCAGAGTAGGTCAGATACAGGGCTGTGCGGGGATTGTTCGTCTACAGACTCGAGTCACTTCTCAGGCTGTCCAGATTTAGTGGTGCCCATTGGCTCTCAGAGCATCGTGGGCGTTCCCAGCCTGGCGGCTGTGGCAGCTTCGGACTCTGGAGATGTTCTGGACGTCGTGGATCCGATTCTGGGCGGAGCACAGGGGTCACGTGTACGCCGAGGTTTGTGCAGTAAGCTGTCCGCTGTCGAGAGCACCGGATCGTGCAACCAATGGCTGTGTCACTTAGATTTCAGATTTGCCCCGAGACCTGAGCCACAACAAGTGCCTATGCCGCCCATTTCCCGATGTTCGAGGACACTTTCATTCGCGTTACGTTTTCTGTGTGGGCTAGGCAGATAAGAGAATGGGGCTGAAGGGAAGAATGCCTATGACCATGCCTCGTCAGAATCCGACTTCGGAAACTGCGCTGCTTCTGAATCAACGTGTTCCTTCTGAGATTCATTCTCCAATGCCAGCGGTGTGACTGCAAAGATCTGCGAGGTGAGAGCAGAGGCATAGTTCTCCTGCAGCTGCATGAGCAAGTGCCGTGCAAGAGGGAGGGAGACAGACTAACGCTTGGATGCCTGAGGATCGGCATGCCACTCCTCAAGGCCGCACTGCAAGATTTTCATTGGCGAGTCGAGATCTACACATTTCGCATTGGAGAGTTTATTTCCTGGGATAAGTTGTTGTGCCACGCGAGCATGTTCCGGCATTCGCTAGGGCGCTCAGGGCCCCAGGGCCTCTCGTGTTCAGCCGTGCAGACGTTGAGGTGGAGCTTCAGCTTCGACCGGGCACTGAAGGTGCTAACCGCGTTCGTGGCCCTGAAGGGCGAGGAAGCTCCGCCATGGAGGCCCACGGGATGCGCAAGTAAGCGAAGAATCAGAGGCAGAGCCAGTCCGCAGTCCGGTGCATCCCGCTCGGCGGCGTGCAGAAGGGTTCGGGCTTGGCTCTCGCATCCTGTCATGACCAAGTCGCGTAGCTGGCGTTGTCGGGCGTATCCGGTAATCCTTCAGGCGCCGCTTTTGGTGCTCCGGAACCTGCGACCGGAACCCCGCGGATCGTTGCTCAACATCAACGTTGCAGGCGACCTGGCTGCTGGGTGCTTTCTTGCAAGAAAACAGTAGAAGCAGTTTGGGCTCAGTACTGAAGGTTGGGTAAATACGTCGGCTATGGCCTTGTCTTTTCTTCGGACGTCCCCTGGAGAGACGCAGCTGCAAACAGGCGTCCAAAAGCAGAAAACGGAAAGCTGCCCTGGCTCCAAGGGCCAGGAGAGGTTGGAGATCTGCAGCCCCGACTTGAGCATCTTCGCCTCCTTAGCGCAGGCCGAAAGGGCCGCGAGTCCCGGCTCCGCAGAGTGTCACTTCGTAGAGATCTGTTGCATACCTACCATCTGATCCCGGGATGAGGGGTGCTGTCGTTATGTTGCTGTGTGCTGGAGACTGTGACTTCGCAGTCGCCGAATCCCTGCCCCGCCGACGAGGAGCCAAGCGGCAAGTTTGTTCTGAGAAGCGGCAGCGAGGAGACTCTTTGAGCCTTGGAACCTTTTCAGATCTTTGTTGGAGGCAAAGGTCTTCTACTGTACATGAGCGAAAATATTGCTCCAGTGTTCCACCTGGCCCCAGCTACAGTTGTGCCAGTGATCAATCTGATCAAACATGTTGAGGATTGTTGGGGGTGGGAGCACTTCGATCTCCAGGGCACCTGCTTAGGGCTCTCAGTGAACAGCTTCGTAAGTGCGTTAGTGCATTGTGCATGTACATGACATACGCATGCATGTCTGTATGCGCAATCGAGACATAATGGCCGAGTCAGGCTTGAGGGTTTTAGCAAATGGCTTTCCGAGGCATGATCTTCCACAGCACCTTTTTCCGCGACTTGCAACACAACGCCATAACTGTGACTGATGGCAGCAGCCAGGTGCTGTCAAGAACGCATGCTGCTGCTTGTCTGATGCAGTAAGGTCAGCAACGCCTTAGAACGTCCAGCGGATCGTAATTCTGTCATGCTGGCTTTAGGTCCGGATGTGGGTGATACTATACAGCTGATGGAGTCGTGTCAGCCGTTTTCCAGGTGTAGTGATGATGTAGTGCACGAAACCTGGTCCTGTCCAATTCAATCTGCACCACCCTGTCTGGGTCCCCAGGTGCACTTGGCTTGGATATTGGCGGAACCCATAATCGCCAGCAGAACTCGGGCACCTGTGAAATAGCCTTTGATGATACGAGAAATATGCCAACCAGTCAATGCATAGTCTTGGCCGCCCCAGTCAATATAATGGGCTTCTCACCCGTTGCGTGTCGTATTGCCTCCCCCACACCCGATAGCACCACATACCAGGTGTGCATTTTGTTTGTCTCCAACACACTATTCTGCGGGCCCTCGATAATGCCATGCCTTGTGATGCTGCGACAGCCTGTGACAACTCGAGACCACCCTTTTCACTTTTATGCTGTGCTTGCCGGATTTTCAGGCATTGCAGCCTCATCTTATCTCAACCAATGGTCAGTACACCATTTACATCCGGTTTCGGGCAAAATCCATCTCCTTTCAGGCCCTCCTGATGAAATAAGAAAGGCAGAGATGACTAGCAAACTCCGGAGCCGAGGCCGAATTGCAAGTTCCGGAGCCTGGCAGATTCTACAGCCTGCAGGCCGGCAAAGGGCATCTTTCGTGGTCGTGAGTGCATGTGAACATGATCAAAACTTCTGCGTTCATGTTCCAGTAGTTCCTTACATTCCCGACGTACGAGACAGTAGCAGCTAGCTGATGTCCGGACAGAGCGCAGGTCTTTTCCGGAGTGGACCTTGGAGTTGTGCTATGCTGCCTCGTTTTCATGGAGGGCCGGGCCAGAGACATTTTCTGAGAGGCACGGATCGAACCAGGCCTGCTTAAGCTCCCGTAGTTGGAGCTGCAGCTGCACCATGCGGCCTGCTTCGTCGCAAAAAGTGTGCGCTTGCGGTACAGCAAAGTGCATCGGGAAGTATGTGAGTGGGATGTTGTGAGGGGCATTTTCAGCTTTTCGGAAACCACAGCACCCCATCACACTATTGCTTCCAGCACCGCCACCACCGCTCCTTCGCACTGTAGACCCACATGTAGCACAATGTCGAAGCAGTCAAAGCTGCACCTGTACTTCGCGCACCAATGAGTTCCTACGGCATGTGGTGCATACAGCTATAATCTACAATCTACACGTCGTTTCAGACTTAGCTCACTTTTTCGTGGAGTTCCCGACAGGTGGCGGCTAGGATGTCGAGGTGCCTAAGTCTTCAACCCTCAACTGCGCTAGGCGCTGTAATTGCATTGAAAAAAACATGTCATCAGTCTGAATGCATGTGTGACCATATACAGTATTGAAAAAATCAACGGACAGAACCTAGTAAACCATATCAACATACAGCATAACATAATATAGCATAGCGTAATATCAATGCAATGCGTCATACTAAAACATAAGCATCGACTGAGGTAGAGTGTAGTACAGTATAGTACGGCATTGCATTGCACAGTGAAATTCAAGCTGTATGCAATGACTTACTGTACCACACTGCAACAGTACACAATATAGCACAGCAAGAATGTAGCATAAAACTAACTAGTTTTTACACTGTAACATAATTTGAAGCGTACATCGTGACGGCCACTACCGCGGCAGTGGCCACAGTTCCGACAACGGCGACCTAGGGAGCACCAGCTCGCTCTGCTTCCGCCGCCACTAGAGCTTCCGCAGCAACGCAACCCGCCTGCCCTAGCTTCTGCAATCCCCGCCCACACCGAACCGCCACGAACCGACCTGGACCCCTCGGCCCTCCGCCGCCCACCAAGGCGCAGTTCTCAAGACCTTCGACGTCCGCCCCCCTGAGGTGTCGAAGCTGTGACAGCAACGATCGGTTGAATTTGGCTCCCGCCAGAAGTCTGCTTCAAAGAAGTCGGTCGCTCTCAGACCATGCCTCGTGCGAGCTTGCCTCGGAAACCTCGAGCGGTTTCGCGAAACCAAACACTGTGTTCTTGGTCTTGTCGCTCTTGAACATTGTTGAACATGCGCACAGCAGTTGCATGCCCACAGGTTGTGATTGCACAACCTTCAGTTTGTTCTCAGTCATCCTGCATCATCACCATGGCGTTGTGCCTTTGTCACCATATCCGGACCTTGGGCTGTTGCTAAGGACAGGGCCTTATCAGGCAGCAGTTGTGTAGCACATGTCACACAAATCACGGACCTGGCGTGAATCACATCACAGCGACAACGCTGCAGCCGTCCGTAGCTGCCCTAGCTCCAAGCAGTTTCTGTCCTCTCGACAGGCACCCTGGCACCCTTGCACCCTTCACATCCAAGTCTGCCATCCCTTGTGCAAAGAGTCTTTCCAACATAAAGAGCAGGATTACAGGTGCCTGCAGTCAGCATCTTCGTCAGTAGCATCATCAACGGTTGCCGTCAGCAGCATCACCGTTAGTTGTCAGGACGACGCTCAAAACACTGCCTTGTGAAGCAATGGGGTGAGACATCCCGGCAAGCGAGACCAAGAAGCTCTCAGGACTTGAAGCGGGGAGTTCGACCAAAGAGTAGGAAAGTGTTAGCAACCCCCTCGGATCGAAACAGGATCGTCACTTTTGGCCTTACGGCCCCAAAGCACCAACCCCCTGAATCTTGACTCTGAGGACGAGGAGGCGGAAGAGGTGCAGGCAAGGGGACCATACCTTCACTAAGTATTCCTCGCAAGCTGCGGCCCAGGCTCTTGTTGAAGGAACAGCCAAGAAGTAATCGCATCATACCCGAAGAATGTAGAGTCCAGGGTTATGGGAGTTCCTGAGCCTCAAAGCTTGAGCCCCCTAAACCCAATTCTGAGAAGGAGGCCAAGGAGGTGCAGGTGATTGCAAGTGAACCGTGCCTCCGTCGAGTTCTGGTCGGGTCCGAGATGCTGGATTGTTCGGCTCGTGTCTGACGGAACCGCACAGAAACCCGAAAAAAAGCATCCAGTGGATCATATGAAGCAAGAGTTTCACGGTCGAGGGCGTCGGGCAGAGAAAGTATGCTTTCCGTCTTATGGTAGGGAAGATGTCGGAGTCCAAGGTCTAGAGCACTTTGGTTAACCGGTTCCAAGTCGTTTCAAGTTGATTCGATTACTGCTTGTCGCTTGCTGAGCTGGCCCCATGTGACAATGCGGTTCAGTGGGCTATAGGTCGGAGCAGGCAAAAACTCAACGTGGGATAATAATACATATCTGATCTATTCTGATATAGCAATTCGCACATGGCGGCGAAGCTGCTGGTGCTGCTGCTCCAGCCTCTACTCGCAACTTGTCTGTGACTACCAGTTACCAGCTGTCTGCATATCATTCTGATAGACGCTGGCAAAGCTGCCTGCAGATGCCCCGCAGATCTCGAAAGCGGTCCTGCCCGCTGCGCCGATTTGGTAGTTTCCGCCAGAGTATAGAGTCCGTGAGTCCCTGACCGACAAGTATAAGTATAAGTGATGCACGATTGGGAATGTTTACGATTTCAGCTCCTGCTCAAGATCACGTCTCGACGATCACACAAGCAAACACCGCGGAGGTCGGCAGCGCCGATGGCTGTAGCCCTGAGCTCCTGCGCCGGGAGTCTGGGAAATACTTTCGGCTGCTCGAGGCCGTTGTTGAGAACTCCCGCTGCCCACAGAATCCAATCAAAACCCTGACGCGGAGCATGTCTGTGTGGTCTGAAGTTTAGCGTCTTTCAACCTTGTCAAGGGCAGCGCAAAGGTGAAGCCAAGTAGTCCAGGATGACGAGCGTCGAACGACATGTTCGGAGATCACCGACGGCCAATGCCCCATCGCGGTCCCTGTGTTAGGGAATCCTTGCTCCTGGGTAGCACTCAAAGCTCCATGGATGATTGTCTTGGGAAGGAGAGACACAATTTTGCTGGAGATTCGGGGACTGGCGTTTATGCATCGGACGGTTTTGTGGTGTGTGAGCTACCACAAGAGCCCGCCTGCATCTGTTTGAGCCCTCCCCCATTGCGAATCATTTGCTCATATGAGTTCCTCGTCTCCCACGCTGGGCTTTCCTTGCATCCAGGCTTGGTAAGCTGCGTTGCCTCCGAGACAGAGTGTGCGACGATCAACCCTCACACAGCCACTTTGTCTTTAGTTAGTTTCAAGCTCTCAGAGAAGGTTTCGTTACTTGCAGTGCAATGCAGTTATCGCCTGTAGCTGAGCCTACATACAAGGGCAGAGAAGGGACACGAACTGCAGGAATCAGGAGATGGCAGCCCACCACCCGAGCTTTGTAGTGCATTTGGGCGTCACTTCGGAGAGCTTGACTTCGGTCAGGGCTCCATGATCATAGATTCAACCGGCAGCTTGTCAAGCACATTCCAAGCTGTGTACAGTCAATGCGGTGTCGCTGTTCAGAAAGCAGCAGAAGTCCGAGGGATGGATGCACGGTTTGGAAGCACAACAAAGGATAGCCATAGCAACAGAGAAACAGATCAGGCAGGCATCAATCCCTCCGAAGATCCGCAGCTGTGCAACCATGGCAGCACATTTGGCAGTGTGCTCCAAGTTCGCTTAGAGTCTTAGAGTGCTTCGGATTGGCATTGACCGGTGAAGAGCCTTGTCGGGTTTTCAGATGCGAGATCTGGCACCCGACACGCGCTCAGAGCCATCGTGTAGTTAGTTTCTCATCCCGAAGCCTCGCAGACTTTCAGCCCAGGCTCAACTTGCGACATTACTGCGTGCAGGCGCCATGCCAGCACTTCGAATCCTGGGCATTGCACGTGCACCGAGACGCTTGACCGTGGACATTGGGCATTCCAGAAAAACTGAAAGAGTGCACACAGCGCTGAAGTAGAAGTTTTTTGGGGGCAAGAACTTAATGCCCAACACTCAGAGACACATGCTACGAAGTGTCTACAGAAAGTGCTGCAGGAGACGCGGAACGAAAGTTTCATCGGAGGCTTCACACGCTATCCACATCTTTCGCTTCTGGCCATGTTGAAGCCTTGCCAGTGCAGAGATTCCGAGGAAGGGGCAAGCGTGATCGACACGCGCTTAGGGGAACGTTGGATGACTCGGTATTGGCGGAGCTGCGCTGAACAGCCATCGCAGCGTTCTCAACACAATGTAAGCCCTGGGAGCCAAAGGTTGAAAGTTTGAGTGTAGACGTGTAGCGACAATCTTATGTTGTGGGCATCCACTGAGCAAGTCCATTTGCACACGAAGAAACTCTGAACCCAACGTCCACGAATCTACTGCCCTGTTGCGGAGCAGGGCTGTCGTCCCTCGGGTTCGCAGCGACCAAGGTTTTGCACTTTCGAGCAAGGGGCGGCAACTTGCCACTCGTGCTTCGAAGCTTGGACCAGTTATTTCCACAGGAATGGTAATGCAGAGTCGCGAAAGCTTCAAGTGTCTCCAGACTGGTGGTGATGAGGGCTGGCAAGATTTGAAAGCACACACTTTGGTCAGTTCGTGCTGAATATGGAACCTGCCACAAGGGGACACTTGGGCTTGAGCGGCCGCAGGCATGGATCGCACTGTCGGCCCGAGGATGGCTTTGAGCTGATAGAGCACGCAGATGGCACGCAGGCGGGGCGCTCTACCTGGGACCACTCCAAGTCCCACCCGCAGCCACTTTGAAGAGTAGAGCGGAATCTTCTCGCGAGCACATACAGTTGATGGAGCGTCCATAGTTTAGCTCCGCCTTATGCTTGTGTGGCACCTTCTGCCCATCTGGCTTGAAGGAGTGCATAGTCTTTGGGCAGACCGCCATCGTCTACATCGCGTATATTTTGATGACAGCTTCTTGCCGTCAAGCTGCAGAGGCACTGATTGTCTTCCGAACTTTGAGAGCCTGAATCTTCTCAGCCGTCGTTTCAGCGGCATGGTTTTGAAGGTGGATTTGGTTGGGATGGCGATGCCAGCGTAGATTCATCCTGCTCGAAGCAAGTGTAAGCTTGCGAGGTTATTCTGGCAGCAGTTTTGCTGGTACTGGCTGGCACCTGCTATGTTGCTGCCGCGCAGCACATGCGGCTTGCAGTAAAGAAGTCACTGTCACGATTTTCGCGCTCTGATCGTGAGAGCACGAAGGAAGCGAACTTGGTCATCACCAGCTCCGGATCTAACGGCTTCTCGGAGCAGCTGAATCTGAGCGAAGGGCTCGGCAGACATCTCGAGGCGAGCAAAGTCTTGTCAAGGGGTTTCTGTTGGCAGAGGCAAGAGCGGCAAGAGGCAGAGCGCAGCCCCCCAAGGCTGGCCTCCTCACAGGAACTTCAGCCGGTGTGCCCGTCTCCAGCGACGACGTCGAACCTGCGAAGGAACGTGGCTCGTGCATCGAGTTTGATAAAGGCCTTAGTTGAACAAAGTGTGGGAGCTGCCTGACAACTTGGAAAGTTTTCAGAAGACAACTTCCGTGTCCAGATAGGTTTTTGCAACATCTGTTGGATTCGTTTGCAGGCCAGCTTTCGCAAGCCTTCAGTGCTTCTGGTGCATTCGACTTCGCTCGACCAGGCGAAGAGCCACAACGAAAAAGCCATCGCGAAGCTCTGCTTAAATCCTCTGCCAAGCCCAAGGGTCCACGGCTACTTGGGGTTTTCTACGGCGGGACAGTCGGCCAGCAAGCCGTTGGATTGAGTCGTGTGTCAGATTCCTACAGCGAGGCACACAGAGAGCGAAATGCATCCTGCAACCCCTGTCAATACAGTAGCTTAGCCTCACGGCACGATCACTGCTGTGGCTAAAGTCTAAAGTTCACAAGACAGCCCAGCTTCTCAGGCATGGCCTCTTGACCTCGCTCGAGGCCGGACTTCGGACGCCGAGCAGGGCCTGCATGGGGTCTGGGCCGAGCCTCGAAGCGGAAGCCGTGGAAGCCATGGAAACCGATGAGTTGCTGTGTTGCCTCGTTGTTGTCTCGTCGCCCCTCGTCCTCACAGGTCTCCCTGCTACAACGCAGATCGCATGGCGGCATAACGATACTTCTGCTGCCCAAGAACAGCTTCTTCAAGCCATCGACCAGGCATCAATCAAATTCAACGCACTGCGCCGTGCTGCAACCCGCAGTGGACAGAAAGACCTGAAGAGGACCGGACGAACTAATGCCGAGGCGGGAGGCAGAATCCTGGCTTGAGGGGGGGGGAACCGTAGCATCATTTTTTTGCATTTTCAGACTAAGATGTTGACCTCGGGGCGAGGATGATCGAGGCAACGCTCGACACTGCTGATGATCTTGGAGTTGGACTCCAGCTGTCGCTCTGCTCCGGGCAGTTCGAATAGTTGATAGTTCCTGTAGTGCCACGTCAAGCTGAGTCGCATGCACTTCTACGGGTGATGTCTGACAGGGTAGGTTGAGTGCTTCGATCCAGCAACCCACCCCTGTCCGTGAGCGACTAAGGTTTTACAACACCCAGATCTTTCTGATTGCTTTCAGCTTGCTGGGTTTCGGCGTGGCCTACTTCTTCCTGCGCATACTTACGCCAGGTGGCGGCATGTCGCACGTTTGGGACAGGCAGTGATGCTCCATTTGTGCTTCAACAACACAGCACAGCCGTGTTCCTGGTTCACTCACTTGTTCTTTCTGTAGCACAACCCCGCCATGCTCACGATGCTCTCATGTCCCCGCGAGCCTTTGCAGACAGGTGCGACGTTGACCGAATTGATGGAGGAGCAGTACATGGCTGAGTTCAGCTTGGGGTGTTAGTTTCCCAGATGTAATGTTCAGGCACCGACAAGAGTCCGCCCACAACGGTCCTTTGTAAAGCGGTTGCTCTGCGTTCTGAGAAAGCCTGCAGGAGGCTGCCGTTTGCCCCACCTCCCTGCAGCAGCTCAGGACGACCGTTGAAGACTCCACAGTTACCCATACCTACTCGTACCTCCTTGAACCGTGCCGCTGGCGAAGTGCTGCACGCGGTGCTGCACACGCGCGCTCCTCGCTGCGCGAGGAGTTTCGAGGAGCAGGTCATCTCTCGAGAGACGCTTCGTGCCGAACGCGGCCAAGTGACTGGACTACACGGCATTCCTTGTCGCCCCACCACTAAATGTCTTTCACTCATTGCAAACTTGTTGCTACGTGCTGCCTTCTCGGTGCCAGAGGATTGTAGGACTCGAACGTGGTTGACCAAGGGAAAACTTAGACTTTCAAAAGCCGTGGCCTGGTCCAACCAACAGCTCAGGTGATGGGTATGGTCTTGTGGTTCTTCGGTGCATCTTGGCCATCACGCAAGTAAATCCATCTCTGCCTTGTCAGCAATATAGGCATTTCCGTAACTGGCGGCGGCGCAGAGGCCTATGCCTGAAAATGTAAAATCCAGGGCCCGTCGGTTTTGCCGTCCTGTTCATTATCTGTGCGATGACGTCAATATCCGCCGTATCTCTGTGTTCTCCCGGGGTGCTCGCTGCATTCGTCAATTGCTCTGCTGCAGGCATTTTGCGTCATGTTATCTGCATCATTTCAGGGATTCCTTCCGGTCCGTGGAAAGTCCAATGGGACAGTAGTCAGTAGTGGTCTTTTGCGAGAGCATTGGAACACATCAGGTCTCTCCCCAAGCCCCGCTTGCTGTTCCTCCCATCAAGTTTCACAGCCTGCGGTGCTCGTCTCACAGCCATGCGTCACCTGGGAGACCGGCTGCGCCGAGCTGCTCATTCTGGGGCATACTTTTCGGCGACGAAGCGGAGAAGGGCTGGCACATGACCACAAGCTTTGATTTGGGATGTCAAAGAGATGCAGTGCAGGTTTCTTCCAGACGGGAGATCTTCGGCTCGGCGCACTCAGAGTAGAAGCCCTTCACAGGCCACATTGTACAGTCGCTGCTCTAGCATGTTTATCCACTTCTGTTTTGTTGTCACAGTGGGAGCGGTTTGTTGATGGATGTGAGGATCTCCTGCCGACGTGCAAGATGTCTCCGCGTACTCACCAAGGTCCAATTAGTTCGTTATTCTCACAGGATGATGGATGGAACTGACCAAAAATTTGAGCACATCATGCACAAATACTCACACGTTGAGACGATACTCATGTTGCGCCGTGAGTGCCGATCCGGGGCCTGCGCCTCCCTGTGTGCCCTTGACTGAATCACAGTTTCGGATATCGCAGCGCGGTAACTTGCCCTGTTCTTTTGTGTAATTAATGTCTTCTGGCTTGCTGAGGCAAAGTGTGGTCACAATTGCGAGGGCACTCTCGCGACTCCGATCAGGGGTGGCGGCTAATGTCTTTTGCACAATTGCGAGGAGCACTCTCGGGACTCCGATCAGGGGTGGCGGAGGGCCACGTGTGACAGCATCCCTCACGAGGCAGCTTGTGGCCTAAATAAAATTCGATTTTCTACCAGCTCCTATCTTTGGGCAGCCAGGCTGGGTTTCGGCGTCAATTGGGCCGGAAAAAGAGGCAGGCAGCAGCTGTGGCGGGGGATTGGCGCGCAGTGCATGTTTCGGGCTTGCTCGCTCGTCACAAGGGTCCGACCGGAAGCGCCTGGGTTGAGTGCAGGCCCCCCGGAATCTATCTGATGTAGTTGGATGTGTCTGTGTTTTTCACATGCCAGACACGGCAGACAGGCCGGCGCCAGACACGGCAGATGACCCCGCAGGAGATTCAGCACGCACGAGCATAATGGACCATGGCGAGTGGACACGGTAGATGGTGTTCGGTTCAGGATCCCTGTTAGGTTAGAGGGCACCGTCCACATCATGAGGCTGGGTCATGTTGGAGCTTGCTTGGATCACTGACCGATCCCTGATGTGTGGTAGGATGCGGCCAATAGGCCCACGAAGTGGCGGACTCTTTGTGGTTCCTTACGGTACCAGGAATTTTCTTTGTGTGCCAACGGCCACTTCAGGGACGCTCCAGGTGCTGGGACCAAGTGGTGGTCAGCTCCTCGCCCTTGTCGTCATCGTCTTTGTCTTCGTTTTCACGGAAGGGTCCTTCCAGGGATGCCGAGAGCAGTTCGTCAGTTGGGGAGTGCGACTAGTCACGGTTTTGTGATGAGTAGCCGGCAAGAGCGCAGCAGACAAACAGTTGACACGAAAATGTTGTGTGCAGTCCCGGCACTGCATGCAGGACGCGGTGATGCACGGCTTATCCGATGCGACGCTGGTCGACGTGGTCACTCGAGGTGCGAGGCGGCCGGCATAGTGGCATGCAGCATACGTCCCACCGACATCTAGTTGCAGGGCATCGGTAGTAGAAGAAATGGATGGACCCAGAGGAAGGGCATGCAAAGCGACAGACCCCGCCCAGCTTGCCATATGCTATCGTGATAATCTCCAGGATGTTTGGTTGGTCAGCGCTAACAGATGGGCGGCGTGGTGCCTTGTCGTAGGGTCTCGTATGGTGAGGTAAGCATAATCGACAGCATGTCTTGAGGTCTTGCCGGTGCGGCTGCAAAACCGCTTGAACAGGCCGCCCCATGCTAAGACAAGGACATGTCGCCTGCAACACGATTCCAGCCCCAGGCTGGAGCAGCCCCAACTAGAGCCAGGAGCACTTGCCATGGGAGGGCCGTGAGATGTCCCCCCGGTTCGTTTCGTTCCAAGCAAAGGCAAGAAAGATCCAGGCAGCAAGCGACGAACCGGTCATCACTACTATGCAGTTGACAAATGTCACCACGCCTGACAGGCAACTCCTAGCCCCAAAGCTGTGCCGCGTCCTCAGCACTACGTCTGAGCCCTGAGAAGCTGGTGCCCCGACCTTGCGTTGCCAACGCTCGCTCAACCCACTTGTTGAATGCTGACAAGTGACTGCATGCTCTGCACGGACTCAGGTTGTGCTGATTCGCTCAATGGGTTTGGTCACTGAGACACTCTGGGTCGTCTTTGAACAAACCCTTCGGGTCCGTTTTCGTCAGCTTGCGGCGCTCGCGGCGAGCCAAGAGAAAAGCTCCCTCCTTTTGATTTTTTTTTGCGCGGGGGGGGGTGGTGGCACGGCTCGGCTGATGATGCAGGGTGGGCACAGCAAACTCGTTCGCCTTCGAAGGCGGTGGCTGTCGCGCTGGATCATGGAGATCTATATACAAGAGGTGTCGTCAGTAACCGTTCAGTTGCTCCACCAGCTCCACAAAACACCCGGGACCCAATATTCGCTGCGCTTCCGAGACATCTTGCTCGAGTTCGCCCGTTTCTGCGAGGCCATCGACATTTTGCCGACTTTACGTATAAATTGCTGGCATATCTGGCATCTGGGTCGATCGCGGACGCAGATAAAACCGGTGGAGCCTTGTCAAGTCCCTGCTGCTGCCAAGCTCATGACGGCGGTGATATGGCTCTCCCGCAAGGAACCAGCTGGGACAGTGAACACTGCCGACGATGACGCGAGCACAAGGATGCTATTGAGTAGCAGTAGCCGCAGCTGTCCTCGAGTTTCTGCCGAACAAGGATCCCGAAAGCCTGCGCAGACGGCACCCGGTCAAGACTTGCAGATGACATGCGGCTGCACCGATACAAACAAAAATTACAGAGCATGATAGGCGGTTGTCTTCGTGCCGGCAAGATGATTGGCGAGTACAAGCTTTTTGCTAGGATTTGTCAAGACGCCCTTCGTGCAAAGGTCCACGTGCGGCTTCTGGAAGCCTCTAGTGCTGAAAATCGTGTGTCTGCAACCTGCCAGCAGCCGACGCTGTTCCTGGACACCCTCGTCGTCGACACCAATGATCCTCTGCGAGGTGTTCGAGGAGAAGTTCACGGTCAGGGTTTGGGAGAACAACATCGTGAATTTTTTTATCGAGCATGGAGGCAAGGCCATGAAGCAGCTCGAAATGGCTGAAGTTTCAAAAGTGCAGACTTCCCGATGACCCCGAATGCCAAACAACATGTACACGTACTTGGGCGTCACTCCGAGCAAGGAGGGGCGAGTCATGATACAGGCTTGCATGGAGGAGCTCATGGCCAACTTCCGCCGAACCGCCACTAAGGACTTGGCTGGCGGTCACCAAAGTGTCGCTCTCGAGGGGGGTGTCTATGGCGAGCCTGTGGTCCTATCTCATTCATGCCTGGGTGTAGCGGGAACTCGTTGGTTCAAGGCTTAGCCATTCAAAGGACTGAAGATGCGGACAGATCTGAGTGCAGAAATCATGCGCCGGCGAGACCTGGTGATCCGTGTCCCCGGATATGTCGATACCATCCTGAAGGTCAGAAACGTTTCTGGAGCCAAGCCGAGGCTGACCAACAAAAAAGACGTCAACCGTGCAGTGTGGAGCTGCTACACGTCCGTTGCTACCACGAGCCACACAGGCATGCACAGGCATGGCTGCATTTTACAGTCGTTTAAAACCGATTGCGGATATGTCAGCCGCACGAGTTTAGTGCAGGTCTTTGGAGTAACGCGGGCACTCAAGTTTAAGTTTTGGCGGAGTTTGGAAAGGCTTTGAATGCTACAGTTGCTAGAAGGTAACGGGCTGCACTTCTTCAGACCCCGTGGGCAGCAACTCAGGCCGCTTAGCTGCTCTCCGGAAAACCGGGAGAACGAAAACATCCGGCAAAGCTGGAGGAGTGCTGTAGTATGATCCAGCGACCACGAGGAGGAAAACTGAGTAACAAAGTAGTGGTTTACGCAGGTTTTTTCCGAGAAAGTGCTGACGAGAGAGTTTCGACGGAGTGCCGAGAGATTGTGCAATCATGATGCGAAGCTAGTTGTATGTGCGCAGATGAGATTCATGAGGTTTTTGGTTTTAGACAACTTTGGACTTCCAGATAGCCGGTTTCAGCTTCGAAGACCGGGTGGCCGCGCCAGACATGTAGAAGCCAGCGGTGCCAAACGAGTTAGGTGTGGGGGTCGGCACAGCCGCCCGCACAAATTCACTGGTGAAATTTTTTCCGCGCTGTTTTACAGATTTCCGTGTTGACGGGATACAACGAAGCTTATGGCTTGAGGTTCGGCCGTAGGCGCGCTGGACCAAGAAGTGCCTTCGAATCGCATGACAATGGATCTGAAAGAGGACCAGACCACCCAGCCAAGGTATGGCTTTCTTGGGGGTTCCACTACTACCAGAGACTTGGCCGAAGAATCGGGCCGACAACACCAGAAGTGTTCGGTCCCTTCCGTGACTCACGGATCTGTTTTTGCACAAATGTTTCCTGGCAAGCCTGACAGGAAAGTGTACATGAGAAAGTACGATGCGCAGCATCAGACGTCCGACGATTACACGCTGATGTTGGAAGATGTGCCTCGTGAGGCTTCCGAAGTTGGGTTGTCGCATTCAGGAAGTCATGGTCTTCCCGGGTTAAGAATAACGTTAAGATTGAGTTAGGATTCACTAGTGGTCATAGGGCTTGCTTGGGGCTAAGGTTTTGAGGTTCAGGCTTTGTATGGTATTAGTAGCACCGTTCAACCAAGATGTGTCTGCCAGCTGTGGCAGCTAACCGTATCATCGTCTTGGTTGTGAACACTTTGCCTGCCCAAGGATGAAGAAGCAACCAACCCCATCCGTCGGGATTTTGGTGTGTATCACAACTTCGCGGTCTGATTCCCTTCGCAGCAAGTCGCCCAGCCCTGTTAAAATTCACGGCTTGGGGCGAAAGTAGCAAAACAGGTAATGCTATGATTCGGCCATAAATGTGGTGAAAAATCTTCTAGGGGGTTTACTCCAACATAGCATTAGTTGCAAAGCTCTTCGAGCTCCGTCTCTTGTAATTGTGCCATATCGTGCCTATAACTGCCCGCGCCGTATTCAGGATGTTGTGTCTCAAGGTGCTTCCACAAGTGAAAAATAATTAACCTTGGTGTGGCAATGGTGTTAAAGACTGCATGAGTTCATGTAACTCGGGCTGGTAGGTCGTGGACCACCAGAAAACTGAGAACCGTGATAAGACAAGGTCTGTATGTTTTGAGTCTCTGGGTTGTCTCTGATATTTCAGATCATTCGATAATTCAGGTCACTGCATATTCGTCAGTAGTCGTCAAAACATCATCGACGATCGGGATCAAATCGGGTTTGCATGTTCATGCTCCTTCGGTGAGATACTCTTGCCGTGGTCATGTAAAAGACCTCGGAACGAGCCGCTCCGGCTCGGGCCGGCTTGGCTCTGAGACGCAAGATTTTCGAAAATCGCTCGTAACAGCTTGCAGAGGTGAGACACCGTGAAGACAGCTCCTTAGAATTTCCGCTTCATGCATCTGAAACATTGCATACCAGGTTCCAAGCTACTATGGCGCCCAGAGCCTTGCAGGTGACCTCGGAGCGCGCTTTGCAGGAACGCCTGGAAGCCGAGCTCAGCGTCCAGGCCCATCAACACCACAGTCTGCCATGGCAAGGGCTCGTCATCAGGATTTCTTCGTCACACTTTGAAATCCTTTGATTCGACCTTGCAAGCGCTGAATCACTAGGTTCCCTGAGATGTCACGTGACATGCCGGTCTCAACATCTGTCTTGTTCGCAACGCATGTGAACAAATCATCAGTTGGTGGCGCAGGGCGGCATCTACGGTGTGTGTGACTTGGACTGCCTCGGGGGACAGAAGTCAAAGCAATTTCAAGCTTCACCGTTCTCCGACCTTGAAGATGATCTCCTGCATGCCTGTGAACTCCGTTTTGTCGGTTTCCAGGAGAAAGGATGCGGAAGGTACCGAGAAGCAGTAGTGAGACTGTTCGAGGCATCTTGTACGACCTGCTTCACGTCCCCGCTGAAATCCGAGAACGGATCGAAGCCATGTTGGAGCACATCATCGACCCTTGCTTCGAGTTTACAGTCGAAGCTGTCCTTAGGTGTTTGAGGATTTCCATTGCCGGTTGTCGCTTGACTTGGATCTCACTAGCTGTGGTGGCCCTCAAGTTCGGAACCTAAAAGACTAGTGAGAGGACATAGGGTTTAGGAAACACTTCATCGCTGATGGGTATCCTGCGTCCATCTTGCGGCATTCCTTGATTCAGTGACCAGCTCACCCCTGCTGCCTTTGCAAGTTCGGGTCATAGCTGGAGTCAAGAGTCCATGTTCCCTGGGGCATAAATTTGAACTTCAAGACGTTGGTTGGTGTGTCACGTCGGGAGGCTGCATGTAGCTTGAAACCGCAGAGCCGGAAGCACCGCTAAACACCGCAGGAGTGGGACGACATGTGCAATGGCTGGGCCAAGCAGGATTTCTCGGTGTCCAAACAACAGCTCAAGCTGGATCCTTGGCTGCCCAAAGCTGCAGGCAAACGTTGCTTGCTGTGCGTTGTGCACTTTGTGGTGTCGTTGTGGTCGAAGCCTGATGCAAGAGAGGAGCTGCTGGTCACCGGTCGTGCTGCAGGATGTTTGCATTGCTTTTGGAAGCCCTGTTTAGAGCGTCTGTTTCATGTGTGCAAGTGATGGGAAGCAGTACTCCATATGGTTCTCAACCTCTTGAAGATGCTACACCTGGTCGGATTTTTGCAGGGTCTCTTACTTATTCTGGCCCAACTGCTCCCCTTCATCAGGAATTGGAAAACGATGCCGCAGATTTCCAGAACATCCTGCGTGAGCACTTGAGGCCTGGATAGGATGATGTTGCCGGACCCGTTGATATGCTATTCGCGACAGCGACTCGAGGTGCTGTGGTCGTGCCTACGTCATCTTCTCGACACAGGCAAGAGCCAGAAGTTTAGGACCAGGCTCAGGGATGTTCCCTGCAAGCTAACAAGATTGGATGACGCTACAGCGGTGCTCATTCAGACTTTTTCACTGGTGATGCTCGTTTTAGTCTCCGTGGCACCAGATGCGCCACAGCAGCGGCAGCAGCAGCAACAGCGCGTGGCGGTGGCAGTGGCAGCAGTGGCAACAACCACCACTACTGCCACCACCAGCACCACCACCATCATCAACAACAGCAGCAACAGCAATGGCGAGTACAGCAAGAACGAGAACAAGAGAAACAGCGACAACAGCCGCAAATAGCAACAACAACCGCGACCGCGACAGCCACAGCACCAGCAACAGCAGCAGCGGCAGCAGCATCAGCATCGACAACAACAGCACCCAGCACCAGCAGCAGCAGCAGCAGCAGCAGCATCGACAGCAACAACAAGGTAGCGCGTGCGTCTGCTGCCACGCGGGGTGTGTCGTTTATTATTGGGAGGTTCTTTTGTTCAAAAGGTTGGAAACCCTGAGTTTTGTATGGTTTTCGTGAACAAGACGATGTTTCGGATGTGTTTTTTCCATAGTTTTTTGTTTTGGTTTTGGGTTACGTTTTTTCGACATTGTCGCAAATACCATGCTTTTCGTCTTTCATTCTTTAAGATTTTTGGGGTTCGTTGCGAAATCTTATCTACAAAGCATCAAAAACCTCGAGGTTTTTGCATGGTTGACGATTCAAAAGTCAAGCAACAAGAAGCGGCAACAAGGGCTTCCGTTTGAGAAGGAACGCAGCAAAAGAAACAGAAGACACAAGCCGCATTCGCATGGACGTTGTACAGGGGCGTTCTGGCTTATGTTTTTGCCCCCCCAAGAGTGAGCAGCAGATGCCCCTCCTAATATGTAGTTAAATACAGTAGTAGAACCCCTAACCTCAGACGTTTGTTAAGTCATCACATCGATCGGCCCCGTAGCTCACGCAGGCTCCGTTTTCCAACCTTAAAAGGTGAAACCCTGTACTCCTGATTCCACCCCAGGCCCCCTATACCCTAAATTACTAAACCCTAAACCCCAAACCCCCCTTCTCGCCCTGGACCGGCGTGCCACGACGACGAGGCCGGGTGCGTTTGCATAGGGCATAGGGTGACTAGATTGTTTAGTTTTAATTTTAAAGCTTTTAGGTGTAGGTAGGATAGGGTAGGGTGGCACGTGAAATTCGCCGGTAACTAAAGTAAAGTAGTGTCACTAGTCTTTCAAGTGTAGGGTAGGGAGTCAAGCTTTTAGGTGTAGGTGTAGGATAGGGTAGGGTGGCACGTGAAATCCGCCGGTAACTAGTGTAGGGTGACTAGACACTAGTCTTCAAGGTAGGGTAGGGTGTCGGGTAGGTCGGCATGCGACATTCGCCGCTAATTAGAGTAGTGTAGGGTCACTAGATTGTAGATTTGAGTGTAGGTGTAACGGCATGCGACATTCGCCGCTACCTTAGTGTAGGGTGACTAGACTGCAGGTAGGTTTTAGTGTAGGTGTAGAGTAGAACGGCATGCGACATTCGCCGCTACCTAGAGGGTGAGTAGACTGTAGGTAGGTTTTAGTGTAGGTGCAGGGCTAGAGCCGAATCAAGTAGATTGGAAGGTTGGGAGGGTGAATATCCGGGTGCGGGAGGGCGGGGGGGGGGTTCGCAGATGAGTCGGAGTTCGGGTTGTCATTGTGTGTGTAACACAAGGAATCAAGGAATTTTGAGGCAATCCCAGGTCTGTGAAATTCTAATATGTCGTCGGCTGCACGTGCACCATGCCAGACCGATGCACTCAACGAGTTTGCATTCTTGCACGACATGGCCGTGTAATACTGCAATCTGTCTAAAATGCATCGTCATCTTGAAGGAGGAAGTCCTAGTTAGTAAGTGAGTCATTATAGCTCGTGCTGATCACGTCCCTGGCCTTTGCACACACCGCACGTCACTCCGACAGATTGAATGATTCGGTGAAGTCTTCGGACTGGCGCAGTGCTCAGCTTCTGCATGTTGTGTTGGAAGCTTTCATGAACCTTATCACTTGAAGAAGTCGTAATACAAGGTTTGCGTAGGTGAACCTGCAGAAGGGAGGCTTTTGAAATTGGTAGCCTTAACTAACTAGGGCTGTGGGATTGTGTGAGTCATAGCTCGTGCTGATTATGCCCCTGCCCTTTGTACACACCGCCTGTCACTCCGACAGATTGAATGACTCGGTGAATTCCTCGGACTGGCGCAGTGCTCAGCTTCTGGATGTTGTGTTGGAAGCTTTCATGAACCTCATCACTTGGAGAAGTCGTCACAAGGTTTCCGTAGGGGTTGTGTGAGTCATAGCTCGTGCTGATTACATCCCTGCCCTCTGTACACACCGCCCGTCTGTCACTCCGATTCGATGCATTCTTGGGACTGGCGCAGTGCTCAGCTTCTGGATGTTGTGTTGGAAAATTTCATGAACCTTATCACTTGGAGGAAGGAGAAAAGTCGTAATAAGGTTTCCGCAGGCGAACCTGCAGAAGGGCGGCTTGTTGCCGTAATTAATTGGGGTTGTGGGTTTTCGGGTGTGATTCATAAGCTCGTGCTGATGACGTCCCTGCCAGGCCATTTGTACACCCCACCCGTCACTGGCTCAGTGCTCAGCTTCTGGATGTTGTGTTGGAAATTTTCATGAACCTTAGCACTCGGAGAAGTCGTAACAAGGTTTCCGTGAACATGCGGAAGTCTGGTTTTTGGTAGCCTTAGTGAACTAGGCCTGTGGGGTTATAGACTCTGAGTCATAGCTCGTGCTGATTATGTCCCTGCCCTTTGGGTACACTGCCCCTCACTCCGACAGATTGAATGATTCGGTGAGTTATGCGGACTGACACATTGCTCAGCTTCTGGATGTTGTGTTGGAAAATGTCATGAACCGTATCACTTAGAGGAACGAGAATCGTCACAAGCTTTCCGTATGTGAACTTGCAGGCTTCTGGTGACTCAATTAGGGTTGTCGTGTAACCTTTTCATTCCCCCACTTGCTGCAGGCTGCGCCGCGGCTTCATCGCTTCCAGGGTGATTTTTGCGTATCCTCGGCTGCATTAGCACTCACATTTGCACTGCGCTGCTGATTGAGTGATTGCAGAGCACTGCACCGACACTCGGCAGAATCTTCTGTGCTCAAACATGCATGAGTCAACTGTGAAAGGTTTTTCAAGGTTCGAAAATTCATCGTCAAGGGCCGACACTAACACTAGTGACGAGGGAAAGGGCAGTGATTAATATGTGGGCCAACATTTGAAGAGTTCCAAGTGCTAGCCTCATTTGAAGAGCCGTCGCCATGGACCGGGGTTACCATCCCTACAAAGGCGGCCATGGCTTCAAGGGCGACTATGGTCCTTTTTTTTCTGGATTCGGCAAGGGTGACTTCCAGCATGATGCCTTTCAAGGCGACCCTTCTTTCGGCAAAGGTGAGTGGCACTACGATGCCTTTCAAGGCGACCCTTTTTTCGGCAAGGGTGACTGGCACTACGATGCGTTTCAAGGCGACCCTTTTTTCGGCAAGGGTGACTGGCACGGCCCTGGCTTTGGCAAAGGTGACTTCCTCCACAGCTTTCAGGGTGATATGGCCTTCGGCAAGGGCGATGGCCCACACCCCGCAAAGGGTGACACAGACACCCGTGACTGGACTGATTTCAATGCTTGTGGGTTTCCCCTACTTAGTTTAAACTCGAAACCAAACGCCTAACAGTCTTTAATCCTGCACTCAGGCAACAAGGGCGACACCGGCAAGGGCAAGGGTGACACAGACAACCCCACGGGCAAGGGCAAGGGTGACTGGACTGATTTGAATGATTTTCGGTTTCCCCTACTTTAAACTCCAAATCAAACGCCTAATCTAATAGCCTTCAGCCCTGCACTGAGGGACCACAACGTCACGTTTGAGGGGATCGATGTATTCTTGGGCGACCCAAAGGGTGACGGAGCTGGAAGACGCCTTGAAGGCCAAGGACGATGAGCTGAAGGCTTGCAAGGAGGAGAAAACCAATGAGTTGAACGCTGCCGAGGCTCGCAGGGTGAAGGAACAAGATCTCCATGATAAAGAGATCGCCAGGATCCATCGCGAGCACGAGAAGGTGATCGACCAGATGAAGGGTGACAAAGCCAAAGCCTTAGCGGTGACGGCGGCAGTCCTCGAAAGAGACCTGGACCAGCTCAAGGGTGAGAACAAGAGACTTCTCAAAGCCTTGGACGAGCACAAGCAGGAACGACAGAAGATGAAGAGGAACCAGGAAGCGGAGTACGACGTTCGCCAGGGCTTACGTGTGGAGCTCCAAGAGGTGAAGGTGAAGCTCGAGAAGACGGAGAAGGAGCTGGTTGAGGCAAAGACCGGTTCGCTTTTCAGCAACACAGGTGATGGCACAAGCTCCATTGGTGAACCAGGACCTGGAGCAAAGGCACAGGTGATTTCGCGAGCTCCATTGGTCCGGTGATTGAAAAAGACGTGCTTGCTTTCGACTTCAGTCAGTGTGAGCACCCTACCCTAAACCCTAAACCATCGGGCCGGCAAGAAACATGAGCCTAAGCCCCGAACCCCAAGCCTTTCCGAAGCCGTGCCTGCGTTGAACGAGTGCGCGGTTCCCTGGGGTTTGGGTTTGCCTGTAGTTTCGGTTTGGCTTCGGACGAACTTCCTTGCGGTGCGACTTGGTCAGCTTTGCGGGTGAAATACCGGTATGATATACCTTATGTGGTTGGGGTCAGGGTGCAAGTCGCAACTTGGGTGTACGTATGTCCGCATGCATGCAAGCAAGCGAATGCCCATATTAGACATGCACACACGCATACACATGTATTTCTTCGTTTAAATGTATGCACACACCACCACACTTGCACATCCGCACACATACACATGCATGTACATGTACATGCACATATACATGTACTTTA